ATATATATATATATATATATGTAATATATTTTAAATAATAAAAAAAAATCATAAAAATGTAAATGAATTAATACCTTATACAATTTATAAAACTATATATAAATTGCCTTTATTTTTTCATTCCAATAATATATATATATAATCATTCATCTAAAATAAGTATATTGATATAAAGCATGAAAAAATATATATCAATGGGTCAAAAAAATCTTAATTAAACATGTACTGTAATATATAAAGTATTTAGATTTGTATATATTCTTTGAAAGTTTTATTAGGATATTTGTGCTGGAAATCAGGCCATTTTTGTAGTCGTTCAGTAACGACTGTAGTGTTGTGTCGGTCTTACTGTGGATTCCTCCAGGACTTTATGCAATGTGTGTTAAATATACACACGAAGTCTGAAGCAGCTCGTGTATGTTCTCGGTCTTGCTCGCAGACTCCTCTGCTCAGGGACTAGCAGCGGTCACAACAAGCTGATGTTCCTGTGCCTCAGTGGACTCTCCGGCAGATCTCCAGATCAGTCCAGTCCCAGAGAACGATGCTTCACGAGTTATAAAACAACTTCAGACAGAGATTCAGAGCGACTGGGCCGTGTTTGTCTCTGTTTCACGCACTACCTATGAAATCATAAAGACTCCTGAAGCTAGTTATTACTGGGTCAAAGGTCAGGAGAAATCCTCACCTGCAACAAGTGAAGCAGCGAAAGTTACGAAAACTATTCATCTTCAAACAGTCACTAATTCTTCTGTTTTTCCACTTATTAAAGCAAATATGATTCAGAATCAAAACAAACGGATTCTACCACGCACAACAGACAAAGACCAAGCAGTAAAACAACAGTGCTGTAATTCCTGCCATCATCACAGTATTTCTGAATGACCAGACTCTCAGATATACAGTACAGTCAAGACCAAACACAACACAAACCTCCTAAAGTCTCACTGAATGCTGGGATTTCACCTCAAATAAACTGGACACAGCAGAACAGGACAAACACCCCGAATCTCTTTCCATCATTTCATTTACAGATCAGTGTTTATTCCCTCAATCAGCACAAGATTCATCTAGAAAATCCCTTTAAGTTTGAAATAATGAAATTTAGGCAAGATTTCACAGGCATAAAGGCTTTCTGTTGATCAGCGTGGAAATACAGTCCAGATAACTGGATTTTGCCGGCAAGATTTCACTGAAAATGTCAATTTCATTCTGATTTCTATGTTTGGCCGCTTTTAATTTAATACATCTCTTGACTAAATGTTTGCTTGTATGGACTAACAGGCTTCTGGAAACCAGTGTATCATGTTGGTGGTGCACTAGATATATAAAGAAATGATGGCGCCCTCGTGTGGACATGCGATGTAATGCAGACAGCCAGTATAACGCATGAACCATCACCATATGACTCTTTTATCCGCCTTATTTTTAATGTAAGAGAGGATGTTTAAACTGTCAGTCGCTCAGTTATTTATCTGTACAAAAAAACAGTACGTTATGATGCTTGATGCTGTAAACTGGAATTGTTTTCGCATTATTGTATTCCTGTAATCATAAACAAAATTTGATTTCACTTTTTTTGGTAAATGAATGCAAAAGGATTGCAATATTTTTTTCTCATCACTTTGTCAAATAAGGTGGACACAACATCTAGATAAAAATACAAATGCATGAGAAAACCAAACCTGAGCTGATCTTGTGTTTCTCATTGGTCGGGGGAAATTAGATCCATTCTTCCTTAACATATAAAATGCATCAATCAGAAAAAACAAAACCCCAACAGCTGAGGATTCCCTTTTATTCTTAAAATTGTATGTACAAGTGCAACTGATTTACTTCTTTATTAATGTACATTCAATATAGAAAGTTTATGTACGGCATATTACATTTAACATTTCACAATTAGTCTTTCACATACATTTGTAATCAGAGTCAGTACAATTTGTCCTTTCAGACGCTCGTTTCCAGTTGGTCTTGATATATGTAGGTATAAATAGTGGAGTGCTTTCTGGGGAAGGAAGGTTTTTGTCGGTTTACAGGACGATGAGATGAGAGACAAACCAAAACAGATCACAAGCAGTGCGGCACATAATCAAATAATCACAGTTTCACAGGTCCCTTCTAGTGTTTCTCTTTCTCTCTGATACCAAGC